AGTGCCAAGTTGGTGTATCTAAATACATTTGTTCTTTGAGAAAACGGAATGCCTCGGAGTTCAATTTGTGATGGATGCATTACTTGGAACCTGACACAGTGTCTTTTGCTTTTGAACTGTGGTGTTGGAGAAGACTTTTGAGAGTCCCTTGGACTGAAAGGAAATCCAATCAGTCGATCCTAAAGGAAATCAACCGTGTTCTTTGGAAGGACGGATATTGAAGCTGAAGCTTCAATACTTTGGCCACCAAATGGGAAGAGAGGACTCCTTTGAGAACATCCTGATGTTGGGAAAGTTGGAAGGCAAGAAGGAGAAGGGGGCGGCAGAGGATGAGATGGTGGGATAGTGTCATCAATGCAATGGGCATGAATTTAGGAGACAGTGGAGGACATGGGGACCTGGCATGCTATGGTCCATGGAATCACTAATTCCATGGATCATAGGCACAATTCAGGCACAATTTAGTGACTGAACAATAAAAACAACCAGTGTCTCTAACCACTACACCAGAGTGGCTCATATACATGCCCTACTTGAGCATAAATCCCAAGGAATATGAAGCTTGTATCTCAGGGAATATCTGTGAATTGGCAAACATAGGGCATCCTTTGGAAGCATATAGGAAATCCTCCTACGACGGAACAATCATTTTTATGGTTCTATAAAAAATGGCTGCTCGACTCCATCAGCCATGCCCACATGAAGAGTTTCAAAGGATTGTGGTGAAGAACACAATGAGAAAAAGAGATGCCTGGCGTGTGACTATGAATGACCCCCTGCCTTCCCCTCAATCTGTCCTCTTTTAATGGAGTCAGTGCCTAGGCAGGTGAGAGGTCTGAAGACCTCGAAGGGTTTGCATGAACAAAGAAGGGTGACATGGGAGGAAGGTGTTAAAAAGGAATTGGAGGCCTCGCACCTGTGCAACAGGTTTGGGAAGCGACTTCAAAGACTTCCATTAAAAATAGATATGGTACAAAGAACAAAAGTAAACAGGAGAACTGGCTTCGTTCTGGCAGAATAGCTCGGCGGGGGCTTTCCTGCTAAAGAGGACTTCAGCTTTGAGGCTCAACATGATGTTGATTAGTGCAAATAAACCTTTAAGTGAGGCACCTTTTCAGAAATTGCAATCAAACTCTGAGACTAGGGCTTCAAAAGCTTCATTAGCTGCCCCCACACCAAATATAACCTCCCAACGTGAGCCCCACCAAAGGACTTGAGTGGATGGCAAACTCATTCTCTCTCAAGTTCTTAGCTGGTCCTAGTTGATTGTTTTTGCAAATAGGAAACAGCCTGAATAAAGGAACAGGCACATTAAAAGAAATATCAGGAAATGGCCTCCTGAATACTAAAGAAAATGCACCAGGAAAGGACTATGACATGACATGAAATCTATGTTAAAAGGATAATGCTGTTGTAGTTGTATGTTGTATGTTGTAGAAAAGAAACCCATTAAATGTATTTAGAGAGATGTTATGTAAGAAAAGTACATTTCTTTCGCATAGGCTTATGTGCAGAAAGTTATTTGACTAAAAGGATTCTAACAACAGCAGCAGCAGCAGCAGCAACAACAACAAAAAAACAGATTTCAGGTTGCTTCCCTTGGACCAGAGAAATTTAACATGCCATTTTATAAGAGCCAGAGGTCACAAAGATCAGATTCACAGCTCAACAGGGTGGCAAATATACAGGATTTCAGTGAAATTTCCTAGAAATTGTAGGAGAGCTGCGTTAGTCAGTCTATGAAAATGCATGAGGGGGCAGGAGCAGATGCAGCGCCCAGGCGGCATTTCCTCACGTGCGCCCTGGGAAGTTGGGCTGGCATAATGTGGGAAAGGGGCTTGCAGTGGGGAAGAAAAGGAAGAGAAGGGGGGACAGGATAGCAGTCTTCCAATATTTGAGGGGGGGGATGCCACAAAGGAGAGGCGGGTCAACCTATTTCCCAGAGCACTGAAGGCAGGAGAAGCAGCCATGAATGGAAACAGAGAACCAATCTCCAACAAAGGGGAAATTTCCTGACAGTGAGGACAATGGACCAGTGGACCCAGATGGCCTCCAGAAGGTGTGGGGGCTCCATCACTGGAGGCTTTCAAGAAGAGACGGGACAAGCCTTGGTCTGAAAGGGTCGAGGGCAGGAATGGCGAACCTTTGAGAGACCGAGTGCCCAAACGGCAGCCCAAAGCCCACCTATTTTGGTGGCTCTGCCAGTGTGCCTGGGGAACCCAGAGCGGGATGGAGCCCATTAAATGGCTTGTGTGATCTGCTGCTGCCGGGGTGGGGGGTGGGTGGGAGGTGGGGGGTGATTTTTTTTATTGTACTGTATTAATTTATTTGATTCTGTTTGTTAGTTTTTATTGTTTTAAATGTGGTCCTTTATTCTGTAAGCTGCCTTGAGTCACCATGGGTGAATAGGCGGCAATATAAATTCAATAAACAAACAAATAAATAAATAAGTATTTATCACAAAGTGCCAACACGGCAATTCAACCTGAATAATGAGGTTTTACTACCCAGAGTTCAGCTAATTGTTCTAAGAAAAACATGATAAATGCACTTTTATGCCCCTTCATTTTTTTCCCGTTTTTGAAATATTACGTTTAGCAACAATAAAAAAGAAAATTTTTTGTAATATCATTCTCTCTTTTCCTCCCTCTCTGTCTTTCTCTGTCTTTCTCTTCCCCCTCTCTTTTACCCTCCCCTCTTTTCTCTTTCCCTTCCTCTCTCTCTGTGTCTCTTTCTCTTTCCCTCCCTCTGCCTCTCTGTTTCTCTCTCTTTCCCTCTCTCCCTCTCTTTATCTCTCTTTCTCTGTCCCATCCATATCTATCTATCTATCTATCTATCTATCTATCTATCTATCTATCTATCTATCTATCTATCTATCTATCTATCTATGCTCTCCTGTTCAACTTCACTTGTCATGTGAATCTAACCACTTGGGCTGTGGAGGGGGAGTGGATGCTGGCAAGCAAAGCCAAGCATTAGAGATCCACACAAAATAAGGTGACTCCAACCTGGATCCTGTCGGGAAGACCCCCCCCCCCCCCCCCCACTCCCTCTCTCCCCCCATGCAGGCCGACAGCCGCTCAATGCCCCACGCATTGAGCGTTCAATGTCCCGAGCACAGAGCTAAGGCCATGCGCTTCCTCTCCAGGCTGGCCACTGGCAAAGAGCCAAAACTCAAAACTGGTAAGAGTTCTAAAACTGAGTTTTAGAGTTTTGTTAGAGTTCTGATAAGAGTTCTATTCAGAATATTTTCCCTAGTCTTCCAGGATGTTTTTCTTGGTCAATCTTCTCCTTGCTGGAAGCCATCCCTAAATTCCATGATGGAGGTTACTGTCCAGAAAAGGAGAGTGCAAATGCCTCTTTCTGATGTTTACAAACACACGTTTCTTATTTCAAATCCTCTGCAACAAATTAAGCCTTGTGAAGTAATATTGACAACCAGGGTTCTTCTCTTTCATACCCAATGCAACAATTCCCTGATGCCTCTCTTGACATTCCTTCGTCGCCGCCACTAGTGTGACTGTGGGAAACCAATTTTTGCAGCCCACTTGCTCAATTGGACTAATTGCAACCATTTTGTTTCCTTTGCATCTCCCGAGGCCAAGGGAACGTTCTTCTTCCTCCTCATTGCCTTCCGACCTCAGCCCAAATTGTGATGCATGTGAGGAGGTGGCAATCTTCATCCGTTCTACGGATAAGGGGACTTGGATGGGGTTGTTGTGCTGCTCCATGCCTCACAGTAAAGCAAGCACCAACATCAAATTAATATATATTCTTTTAATTGTTCTTAATGTTTGTATTGTATGTTTTTATCTGGCTGTACGCCGCCCTGAGTCCCTCGGGAGAAGGTGCGGTATATAAATTCGAAATAAAATAAAATAAAATAAAATAAAAAGGCCTCAGAAAATTGTGTTTCGGAGGAAGAAATCCAGGGGAAAAAAAGAACGACAGGAGCCAAATGTTGCCGGGTGATGCTCACGGGCGGCCTTGTTGCTGAATATTCAAGCAGAGAAGAGGCAGAGGGTTTTTTTTTCTCCCTCGTAGAACTAAGGATGACCATAGACACGACGGAAAACTCTTCCTCTCGATCCGGCCTCTAGGCTGGCCTCGGAGGGCGACCCACCGAAGGCACCTTGAGGGGCAGCCCCTGTCCTCTCCTTGCCCCCTTTCTCTTTCCTGTTGGGACCTCAACAACCGAGGCGATCTGCTGCTTGTTGTTCTGTGACGTTACGTATCTCACCCTGCAGGGAGCCAGGAAGGGGCGCTTAAGGGGCTGAATTCTGAGAAGAAGAGGGAAAACGCCAAGCCTTTTAGACTTCGGGCTTCAGGCCGCCCGCGGGCGCCCACTCGGCGGTCCAGGAGCGCCTGCCTTTGAGCCAGCTGCGCATGCGCGCCCGCTCCAGCACCGCTCGGACAGCGGACAGCGGCTCCCCGACCGGCAGCCGGGCAGGTAGGCCTCTCCCTAGACCGTCCGGGCTTTGGGGACGCGGCGTTTCCGCGGCCTCGGCCCCGTAGGATGCGTGGAGGGGGTCGGCCAGGCTCCCGCCGCACCTGAGCCCTTTGCGGCCGCGACTGAGGGTGACCTAGGCCGCAAAGCAGGCGGGCGGCCTGCTTCCCTCCCACCGCGTTGCTACGGCAACTGAGCGCGGCCGTCGAGGCGACCCGCCCTCTGCCCGCGCGGACGCTCGTCTCCACGGCAACCGGGCCGGCCCTCCCTCCCTCCCTCCCTCTGCGGGGAAGGGGGGCCGTTGCGCAGCACCCGGAGAAGCTTGGGTTTCCAGGGCAACCGTGCCCCGCCTTCTCGGGGCCTGGGCTGGGCTGGGCTTTGCCTGGGAAGCAGAGGCGCTGGGACCCCGCTTTCATCCAGGCAGCCTCCCAGCGTCGCCCGAGTGTGGTCGGTGGGCTCCAGGGGGACGGTGGGCGGGGGAGGGGGCACGGGAGGTCCAAGGGCCAGTAGTAGTCCAGGGAGGTTTAGGGGGCCAAGAGGGACAATGAGGATCAACAGGCCTGGCCCTGTTTCATGGGGGCTGTGCTGCCAAGCCCTATGCAGGCAGAGGGGTCACTCATGGCCTGGCATCTCTCTTTCCTGAGTCATCTCTTGGTGGATGCACCCAAGGACATCCAGAAGGAAATAGAGGAGGAAAGGACTGATAATGGAACCACCGTCATCATCATCATCATCCTCACCACCACCATCATCGTCTGCCTTCCAGGATAAGAATCTGACAGAGCAGTTTGTAAGCATTATAGATACTGTCAACAGAAGCACAACCAATATGTATTCAATTAATGCATTCTTCAATTAAAGTTGGTGAAAATAGATAAGAAATAGGTAGGTAGTTAGACAGATGATAGAGATAGATAGATAGATAGATAGATAGATAGATAGATAGATAGATAGATGATAGATAATATAGGTAGGTAGATAAATATGAATGCACAGAGGGATGGATGCATGGATAGATGGTGGTCTGCTGCATAATTAGATGTTTGGTGGGTGATAGAGATGGATGGATGATGGGTGGGTGGGTGGATGGGCGGGTACATAGATATTTAGTGGATAGATGAGAAAGGAAGGAAGGAAGGAAGGAATTCTTTGGTATGGTCATTTATCAAGCAATGTAACAAAAAAGCACAAAGCAGCGATGTCAGCAGGATGTAGTAAAAAATGTCATTGGGATTTGTGACATCATAATTGAAGCTTTGCTTTCCATGACTCCTGTCTTGACTTGTTGACCATATCTTTTGGATACCCTTTGGGATAACAGCATAGCAGTAAGAAGGACCAAACATTCGCTTGCTGCATTTTACAGACTGTAAAGCCATATTTTTCAGTGTTTAAGGCAATGGATTACTTTGTCAGCGAGTCATTCAAGGTAAACCAGTCTGAGGGCCCTGAAATTTTAATTATTAATGGGGTTTGGAGGTGAACGTCTCCTATGCCTGTAAAAATGACTACATGAAAAACACGAGTTGTGATTTCAATTATTCCATTATCACAATGGCAAAATACAACTACCTAAGGATTTTTTTAAAAAAATGCTCAAGACTGTTACATGGAGTGTATTAAAATGATCTAAGAATTGTAATTTTGTATAAATATAAACTAATAACAATGGGTGGAACAACAGCCTTAGAACTGACAACAAATAAATCAAAATGATGGATAACTTTGCCTTTTAAGATCAATCATCAACAGTAAAGGAACAGTTAAAAAAATACATAGACTAGCACTTACTATAGCAGCTATGAAGGCCTTGAAAAAAAATATTCAAATTCTGCGATGTGTTTATGTTTACAAAAATCAGAATTCTGCAAACTGTGGTATTACCCATGACACTCCATGGAAGCAGAGGTTGGATCTCAAAGAAGCAGGATAGGAAGCGTATGCTTAGAACTTTAGTGTTGGAAGAGTCCTGAGTACCATGGACAGCGACAAAAAGAATAAATGGCTCATCAACCCAGCATTCTCACTGTAGGCACAAATGACAAGACTCAAATTATTCTACTTCATGTTATGCAAAGACCTTGGCTTCTGAAGAAAGCTCTAATGCTGGGAAAGAGTCAGAATACAGCTGGAAGAGACCTTGGAGGTCTTCTAGTCCAACCCCCTGCTCAAGCAGGAGATCCTGTACCATTTCGGACAGATGGCTGTCCAGACTTTTCTTAAAAACCTCCAGTGATGGAGCACCCTCAACTTCTGAAGGCAAGAAATTCCACTGGTTGATTGCTCTCACTGTCAGGAAGTTTCTCCTTAGTTCTAAGTTGCTTCTCTCCTTGGTTAGTTTCCATCCATGGCTTCTTGTCCTGCCCTCTGGTGCTTTGGAGAAGAGGTTGACCCCCTCTTCTTTGTGGCAGCCCCTCACATACTGGAATACCTGCTGTCATGTCCCCTTTAGTCCTTCTTTTCTCTAGACTGGCCATACTTAGTTCCTGCAACCATTCTTAATACGTTTTTGTCTCCAGGCCTTTAATCATCCTAGTTGCTCTTCTCTGCATTTTTTCCAAAATCTCAACATTTTTTTGAAATGTGGTGACCAAAACTGTATGCAGTATTCCAGATGTGATCTTACAAAGTGGTACTAATACTTCATGTCATCTTCATGTGATCTCGATGTCAGGAAAGAGAAGACGACAACAGGGTGCCAAGCGCGTCGCTTCAGAGATGATGAATGCACCATTGGAAGACTGATAGGCCAATTTAGGGACAGATTGTTTTGGAGAAAGTCTGTTTCTATGGGCATTAAAAGCAGGGGTGAGATGCTACTGGTTCGCATTGGTTCGGGCGAACCAGTAGTAAAAAAAAGCTACCAGTTCATCTGAACCGGTATTTCCGATGATCAGCTGTGCTGCAGGATTTGCTTTCTAGCGAATCTTAAATCGTATGGCATAGCTGTTGCCCCCCCTCCCCCCCGTTCTACTTACCTTGTTAAGCCTCCTTTTTCCACACAAAGTACGTGTTTGGTGTGCATGCGCGTGCGCACAGCATGCATTTGGCACGCACTGTGTTTGGCATGCACTGCGCATGCATTTGCAGCGTGCATTTAGTTTGCACTGGACATGTGCGCAGAGCATGCGTTTGATGCGCATGCGCGCACAGCATGCTTTAAATCGCATTGTGCACGCACGCACGCAGCACACATTTGGCGCGCACCACACATTCGTGGGCAGTGAACCGGTGGCAATCCGCGGAGGATTTCACCACTGATTAAAAGTTGATAAAAAGTGATTAATCAGACAATTAATACCGTGTTTCCCCAAAAATAAGACCCTGTCTTATATTTTTTTGAACCCTGAAATAAGCGCTTGGCCTTAATGCCATGTGCTCAAAAGCCCGATTGGGCTCATTATCAGAGGATGTCTTATTTTGGGGGAAACAGGGTAAATAGTAGACTGAACTTAGGTCTATGGCCTGATGTTTGCAAAATAATTCTTTAGTCAGGGAAGCAATCATTAAGGGGTCAAGTTTCTCTGTGAATTTAAAATAAAGTACTCTCTTTGTGTGCTAGTGAATGTGAATGTATGTGCTCACTTTCTTTTTACATGTATTGCTGCAAAACACAAATGGATGTTACGGCTTGCTTTGCATCCCTAAGCAAATACTAAACATAGCTATACATCAGTTGTAGAGTTGTACATAGAGAAACTTCATGGGGTCTCTAAATATGTGAATCCACTGTTCTCAAAAAAGAGTACATTTTCCTGTCCATGTCTTGAAGTAAATGAATAGGTTTACATCAGGCGACTGTAAGTCATAGTGTAGTTAATTGTGATTTATTGAATAAACCATAGTTGGGTGGGTTTATACCACATGCTAAGATAGAAAGTGCACTTAATAGATGACTGCAGTGCACACTTAGTACTAAATCAAAATCAAAACAAGTCACACAGTAGTTTGGGGAGGGGGGGGACCAGAAATGACGGTGCCTCGCAAATGTGACTTTCAGACCTGGAAACAGGTCATTGTGCGGTGTCAGCTGTGCCATCACAATATTGTCCATGTGTGTCACCATTTCTTAGTGATGCCACTGCTACTATTCAAGATAGTAGTTTTTTCCCCCAACCAGATGCTTCACCGTACATTTAATTACTGTATTCAATTTGCAATTTATCACCAGTGCATTCAGTTGAGGTATGCCTTTAGAAGCCTTGTTTCTGAAAACAATGAAACTGAGGAAGGATTAAGCTCTCTCTCATTCCTACCCCACATGCAGTGAATTTAGTGGTTGGATCTATGTATCTTTATTTATTTATTTATTTTACAAAAAATCAAAGTGGATGTTAAAATTGTGGAGGTATTGCCCCAAACTGTTCTTAGCAGCTTGTGGCTATCCATTCATTGTCCAACTGCTGTCTTTGTATTACCGGGTGATAGTTTTAGGTACTGGAGCACAATGGGATCAGGTTTTGTCCCGTTTGGAATATCATCAGGATTTTCTCCTTTAAACTTTGAATTTAATTTTGAGGAATGAGTTAGCATTAAACTCTTTAAAAATATTTTCTGTTTTATCTGTTGCACACCATTCAGAATCTCAGTGGGAGAGATGGATGGCTTTATAATTTGATTAAGAAATGCATAAATTAAAAAAAAATGTTAGTTTGGATGCAGAATTAAATAAAAATCATATTGTGCATAATATCCCAGGGAATTAATTTTAGCAACTTTTATCCAAGGGTTATTTGTAAAGGTAGAAACATATCACCCCCCAATTTTTTTTTTATTTCCCAAAGGTTTAAAAATCACATAAAGTCACACTTAAAATTATACATTATTTATTAACTAAGCCAAATCATTTATACATACAATTCAACCATTGTTATTTATAAACTATAGTTTACCATTATTGTTTATAAACTGTAGTTTATGCCAGTTATGCAAACCTTGGGAATTCTGGTTTACTCAGTGAATCAAAGAAGTAGATATGCTGGATTGATACTATAACGATATGTTACAAGCTGGAACAATATTTGTATAATTGACAATGCCCACATTCCCATAGATTGCTAAACAAATCATAGGCATTTGGAAGACAAGATTTGCTGCCATAGTGTGAGCATGAAGCTTTTGAGGATTGTGTGTGTGTGTGTGTGTGTGTGTGTGTGTGTGTATTACGTACATATATATATATATATATATATATATATAATTTTGAATTATGCCTTTAGGCTTTTGAACTGCCTTTAGGATTTTTGGCATAACAGTGGTCAAATGTTTACAAAAATGTGGGCAGAAATGCACAAGCAGTGTCAGAAATAGGGAGCAGCAGTTGAAAATTAAAGACCACTGATCCTTTACTAAGTCAATCAAGTCAATCAGAACACCGCTGGAAGGAACCTTGGAGGTCTTCTAGTCCAACTCCCTATTCAAGCAGGAGACCCTATACCCTGACAAGTGGCTATCCAGTCTCTTCTTTAAAACCTCCAGTGATGAAGCAACCACAACATTTGAAGGCAAGCCATTCAACTGGTTTACTGTTCTCATTGTTAGGAAGTTTCTCCTTAGTTCCAGGGTCTCCTTGATTATTTCCCACCCATTGTTTCTTGTCTTTTCTCCAGATGCTTTGGAGAATAGGTTGATCCCCTCCTCTTTGTGGCAGCCCCTCAAATACTGGAACACTGTTTACATAATTATAATATAGTTACAGCTTCACTATAAGTAAAACTAATCAGGAATCCTAATCCTTTAAGATACATAGAAAGCAATTTTCACAGAGGTGTCCAACCTTGGGAACCATAAGACCTGTGGATTTCAGCTCCTAGAATTCCCCAGACAGCCATGCTGCGGGTTAAAGTTATCCATGTTGGAGACCCCTGACCTAGCCTTTATTTTCTGCCATTTTTGGAACACAGAATCCATCCACCCTAAGAGAAGAATATTCTAAGAGTGGGAGGAGTTATCGAGGATGGACGTTCACCTTGAATCACTAGCCTTTTAGATGATGGGTGATTCTTCCAGTACTTAAAGTGGCATCCTGGGAAAATTATTTGGGAGAATGGATTCAGATACGCTATGGATTGGAGATATGACGTCCCTGTGGGAAGGTGGGTGGAGGACAAAAACCTAGCAAGAAGGTAAAGTGTTGCAATGCAGGGCTGTGTCATTTTGGGACCGGCGTCAGTGTATGCTCATTCTCAAGGTGTGGCCCTTGCATTGCGATGCTCTCTTGCTGGTGGTGACCACCATTGCTTGAGCATGTCCTATTTTTAGAAGGAACACTCAACAGATGGGCTGATTCACTTCACACTCACTTTAATATCTATGGAGAAAAAAACCAAGACATTTAACGGAATTAATGACAGCACTGCATTCTAAGAACACCAACAGAATTAGACTTCAAATATAGCTTTCCTTGCTTGTAAGAAACTCCACACATTTGCTCACCCAACTTCCTCCTAGCACCGATCATGTTACCTAGTTGGGTAATGAAATGTCTGCTAGAAAACAACCAGAGACTCCACAGTTCTCCTTCTCTGCCTCGGCCTCCTCTTTACAAACCCCGCTCTCTCCTAGCACCCATGGAGTTACCTAGTTGGGTAATGAAAGCCACCAAGCTCAGCGAGCACCAAAGACCCTACAGTTCAACCCTGAGCTTTAAATATTCTATTGGTAACACAGTGTGTGTTTTATTGTAAGATAACCATCATGTGTTGTCTGTTTTTCCTTTGACATAGTTCCCCATCGATGAAATATGAGTCACTTGCGGTTGCTCGCTGATACTCTGAAATGCTGTGGCATTTCTTCCTTTGTGAAGAAGAATGTAAACAGGACAGCATTTTGGCCAAGTCGGCCTTATGTTTCCCCTGGAATCAAAGAACCATTTTTGAGCGGGAGCAATTCAACCTATGTTGAAGAAATGTATTATGCATGGCTTGAAGAACCAAATAGTGTGCATAAGGTAAGATTTATGTATCTTAGACTTCTTAGGACACTTTAAAATTGATGCTTGTGCTTCTGTTTCCTCTCAGTGCTGCCTGTGCTCCTTGTTTATTCAGATGAGAAAGTGTTCAGAAATGAAACTTTTTATTTATTTATTTTTGGATTTATATTAAAACTTTAATTAATAGGGGAACACCAGCAGGTTTCTTCCACAGTTATTCGGCTTTTACGTTCCTCTTATAATATTATAATTTCGCTGTGATTATCTTGTGTCATGAAATCTAGTATATGCTTCTGTGCAGCATGATCTTTTGCAGACAGAAGAGTGGATAGAAAGGAACTTCGTACATAGTTTGTTAATTAAATTAGGAGTTCTTGTGCTTTGTTATTTCTCAACTTTGGCATAGCAATATTGCATTCTAATTTTAAACTTTAATTATTTGGAGCTTCAGGGCTGTTTTCTTTCACAAAGTCTAAGCTATTAGATTTCTTGAGAATATCAGCAAATTGGGTTAGGAGTCTTGAATCTATGCGAATAAAATAAACTTTTATTATTAAACATTTAAATAAACTTTAAGATATAAACTTTTATAACTAACGCTGTTACTTAAAAGCTTATGCTTTTCGTACAGAATTTTGTATTTTTATTAGGCGCTGGATATGGCCTATTGTTGCCCTTTCCCATGAGATATTTTTTTTTTAAATCAGTGCTAAGATTCCCAAAATGCAGGGATTGACCTTAGAAGTTGTATAGGCAAATATTGCACAGATTTATGTAGATTCCATCTTTAGTATGCTAGAATATTCTAAAATAAACTTTTGAGGGAGTCATCTCCTGGGGAGAATACCATGAAGACATATACTGTACATCTAGAAGAAACATTTTGCAATGACTGAATCACCACAGATCAAATAATATATTTGAAAAAAATATATATCGAGAGAGAGATTTCCCCTTCTCTTGACACAGCAATAGAATAGAATAGAATAGAATAGAAGCCTTGGTACTACAGTGGTTTAAAGCACCCCGTTATTAACACAGCTGCCTGCAATTTACTGCTGGTTCGAATCTCTCCAAGGCTCAAGGTTGACTCAGCCTTCCATCCTTTCTAAGGTAGATTAAATGAGGACCCAGTTTGTGGGGCAATAAGCTGACTTTGTATAAATATAACAAAAGTATGAAGGCTATTGCTTAACGCATTGTAAGCCGCCCTGAGTCTCCCGAGAAGGGCGGCATATAAATCAAATTAAAAAAAAAAAAGAATAGAATAGAATAGAATAGAATAGAATAGAATAGAATAGAATAGATAGAATAGAATAGAATAGAATAGAATAGAATAGAATAGAATAGAATTCTTTATTGGCCAAGTGTGATTGGAAACACAAGGAATTTGTCTCCAGTGCATAAGCTCACAGTGTACATAAAAAGACAAGATACACTCATCAAGAATCAGAAGGCACAACACCCAGTGACAGTCATACGGTACGATAACCAATCAAATCATAGTAGGAAACAATCAATATCAATATAAATCGCAAGGATATAAGCAACAAAATTACAGTCATGCAGTCACAAGTGGGAGGAGATGGGTGATAGGAACGATGAGAAGACTAATAGTAAGAGTAATTCAGACTTAGTGAATAGTTTGACAGTGTTGAGGGAATTATTCATTTAGTAGGGTGATGGCATTTGGGAAAAAACTGTTCTTGTATCTAGTTGTCTTGGTGTACAATGCTCTATAGCATGGGTAGGAGTTGAAACAATTTATGTCCAGGATGAGAGGGGTCTGTAAATATTTTCACAGCCCTCTTTGACTCGTGCAGTATACAAGTCCTCAGTGGAAGGTAGGTTGGTAGTAATTGCTTTTTCTGCAGTTTTAATTATCCATGGAAGTCTGTGTCTGTCTTGTTGGGTTGCAGAACCGAACCAGACAGTTATAGAGGTGCAGATGACAGACTCAATAATTCCTCTGTAGAACTGGATCAGCAGCTCCTTGGGCAGTTTGAGCTTCCAGAGTTGGAGCAGAAAGAACATTCTTTGTTGTGCTTTTTTGATGACATTTTTGATGTTAGGTGTCCATTTTAGGTTTTGAGATATGATAAAACCTAGAAATTTGAAGGTCTCTACTATTGATGCTGTGTTGTCTAGTATTTTGTAAGAGGTAGTAGTATGGGAGGGTTTCTCCTAAAGTCTACCATCATTTCTATGGTTTTGAGAGTGTTCAGTTCCAGATTGTTCTGCTTGTACCACGAGGATACTTGTTCAACCTCCCATCTGTATGCGGATTCATCGTTGTCTCGAATGAGATCAGTCAATGTTGTATCATCTGCAAACTTCAGTAGTTTAATAGATGGATTATTTGAGATGCAGTCATTGGTATATAGAGAGAAGAGAAGTGGAGAGAGCACACATCCTTGGGGGGCCCTGTGCTAATTGTACAGGTACAAGACCCCTGTGCTAATTGTACAGGTACAAGGCCCCTGTGCTAATTGTACAGTATTTGCTTAGCTTCACCTGCTGCTTCCTGTCTGCTAGGAAGCTTATGATCCACTTACAAGTGTGTTCAGGTACCTGTAGCTGATTTAGTTTAGTTAGAAGAATGTCCAGTATGATGGTATTGAATGCTGAATTAAAGTCTACAAAGAGGACCCTTGCGTAGGTCTTTGGAGATTCAAGATGTTGTAGGATGTAGTGCAGAGCCATATTAACAGCATCATCTGTCAAGCTATTTGCTCGGTATGCAAATTGCAGGGAGTCTAACAACGGATCCGTGATGGGGTTTTTTTTTTTTTTTTGAGAAAAGGTTTTTATTATTTTTAATCAAACAAATAACATTTTCACTTGTCTTATTTAAACATTTATAAACCCAACCTTCAATCCCCACTTCCCACCCCCCTCCCCCGACTTCCCAGAAGAAAAACAGGGTATAAATTTTACCAAACAGACGCTAAAATATGCTAAGTTAATGCAAGACTTAAAACTCCCTAGAATCCTTAACTCCCCTTCTACAGATTATTCATCAACCTCCCTTTAAACTCAAAATAGCATATAATCCTTTAAACCTAAGAGTTTTAAAAACATTAACAAACACTAATAAATCATTCAAAGCCTAAAAATCTCGTGATACATCTGTAAGATATTCTTAGTTCATTTACTTAAATTTTACTCTCCCTCCTATTTTCTCTCAAAATTCAAATATTTTTTCTTAAATCTTAATCATTAATTGGGTTCTTAATTCATTTACTTAATCATTGTAATTAATCATTAATACATCAATTATTAGACCAAAGAAAGTTAATCTTCCATTCTTCCTTTCTTTCTGTATTTTTTCCAATCTTTCTTCCTCCCTCTTACGTTTATTTTGAGGAGGTTTTGAATTTCAACTGGGGGTTGATGTATCTTTAAAACTTGTCCCTTTCTTGGAACCATTTCCTCTGATTTGGAGCCCCCAAATCTTCTTCTTGCTTATATAATCAGTTAGTTCATAGAGTTAACTCGATCAGTGTGTAAGGAAAAGTCCAGTTGTTGCATTTCAATTAATTGTGTGAAAGCCTCTGCCAAATCTTCCAAAACCTCGTAGGGCTGGTCAGTTTCTTCTTCTTTCTGCTCCAAATTATATTTTTGAAAAGTTCTGTCAGTTACTTCCAAAAGGGCAGGAATAAAGTTTGAAAATTCTTGAGAATCAGCCAATTCCAGCTTCTCTGCTTTAGTCAAAATGTCTCCTACATTGTCATTGTGCTTTCCTTCAAGAACATCCTCATTTGCTTTTATCTCCTCCACCAGTTCTATAGATTTTCGTTCCATGATTGCTGTTAAGTTGTTAATAATTACAATTTGGTTATTCATGGCTTCCTTTATAAATTCTGTAAGGTCTCTAAAAAAAACAAAAACCTCCTGACTCTGTGAGTCAGTTCTCTGTATCATTTCTGATGCCATTAGAGAGCTTCCACCACTTTCAGGAACTCCTTGCTTGGAAGCCATGTTATCTTAAAAGAATTTTTCTTTTCAAAGCCATAAAATCTCTTGAGCAGCTTTCTCAGATTTATTTGTAATTTATCAAGCAAGATAGTCTTTTCTACGCCCAGCTCTCAAATCCCAGCAGCTTAAGTCCAGTCTCTAAGCACAAATCTGTTAACAAGCACTTAACTTTCACTTTTCCGCCCACAATGAAGACGCCACTTCCACCTCCAGCTCAGCAAAATCAAGTGGAAACAATGTATCCCAGGAGTTAAGCAACATACTTGCAAAGGCTTCTTCTCCTGCTTCCGTTCTGTCTGCTTTTGGAATCAGTTAATCTCTTTGTTGACAGCAGAGTTGGTCGCCTGCGTCTGGCTCCGTTTAAAACGGAGTCGCCATGGATGCGGAGCTTCAGTGGGCTGAACGGGGAGCTCTTACCCTCCAAGCCCCTGGAATTGCTCCAGGGGCTCCCGGAGAGCTCTACCCTCGCCCACCGGCTCTCCTCTCCTTCTTCTCCCGAAGGAGAGGTTTTCAAGCCATCTGACAGCTGATTAGCGCTGTCAGAACGGCTCCAACGGAATCGCAGGGCTGGCGGTCCTAAAAGACCGTCCGCGATGCCGGCGGTGCCAACCGGAAGCCCGGATCCGTGATGGTTTTCAAGTGGGACATCGCTAGCCTTTCAAAGATTTTCATAACTACAGATGTTAGAGCAACTGGTCTGTAGTCATTCAGTTCCTTGATGAAGGGCTTCTTCGGCACTGGGATGATAGTAGAGCGTTTGAAGCAAGAAGGAACATGGCACATCTCTAGTGATTTATTGAAGATTTGGGTGAAGATGGGGGCCAATTGGTCAGCAGAGACTTTTAATCAAGAAGGAGTTATCTTGTCTGGGCCTGGTGCTTTTCCTGGCTTTTATCTGTGAAATAGGTCTTGCACTTCCTTTTCTGTGATCACCAGGGGCTGTGAACCCAATGGGATGGGGTCAGTTGTAGGAGATTTGAATGTTGTTGGTGTGTTTGAGAAAAGGTCAGTTGCAAGATGTTTGGCTGTTGATGGTGTGT